CACCCCACGGCGGCTGCATTTCCAATATTTCCCCATGGAAGTTGGGCCAGCCATGCCATCGGCACAACCCGTCGTCTGCGCACGAGTCGGAATGATAACCATATAAATATTATTTACTCTTGTGTTGACGGGCCTTCTGCAAGAACCTCCTTGGAGACCTTCCCTTCCTGCGCCCACGGAGTCTGGGCCCATTAGGGTGGGAGCCACGGGCAAAGCGGAAAATACAAATGTCTCGGAGGGCGCGGAGGGATCGAGGGCATCGGAATGCGGAGGGATCGGAGGGCGGAAGTATTGGAAGGTGGGGGGAACGGAGGGCGGAGGGATCGGAGGACGGAGGGGTCGGAGGGTGGGGGGAAATCGTTCGGAATATAAGTATTGGAACCCCATACCGTGCACGGAACCGTCGCAATAGAGATAATTCTGTCGTCCGTTGTCGGCGTAATGAGTAACCGTTATCGTTGGGCACAATCCCGATACTCCAACGTATCAATATAATGACGTGTACCCCGGCATCTCCATACATTTTGGTACGCAATGGTGCCCGTAGTAGTCGTTGTTCGTAGTAATAACGTCGCTGGCGTTTGTGCTGGCGTAGTGGGTACCCGCGTCGGACCTGGTGTAGGCACTGTCCTTGCTGATGCTGGCGTAGGCGCCGGCATTCGAGCTGGCGCCGGCGTCGATGGTGTCGACGTTGGCGCTAGTGTCGGCGCAGGCGCAAGCGTAGGAAGTAGCGGGGGAGCTGGTGTAGGCCCTGTCGTTGTGGTCAAGGGGGTCGGTGTAGGCGTTGATGGTGTAGTCGCCGCAGGTGTTGGTGCTGGCGTTGGTGCCGGCGTAGGCGCAAACGTTGCTGTGGACGTAAGCGCAGGCCTGGGAATCGTCACAGGCGTCGGTGCTGGCGTTGGTGCCGGCTTAAGCGCAGACATTGCGCCCGACGCAGGAGCCGGCCTGGGAGTCGGTGGAGGCGTTGATGGTGTAGTCGTCGCAGGTGCTGGTGCTGGCCTTGGTGCCGGCGTAGGCGCAGACGTTGCTGTGGACGTAGGCGCGGGCCTGGGAGTCGTCGCAGGCGTCGGCGCTGGCGTTGGTGCCGGCGTAGGCGCAGACATTGTTGCCGACGTGGGCGCGGGCCTGGGAGTCGGTGGAGGCGTTGATGGTGTAGTCGTCGCAAGTGTTGGTGCTGGCGTTGGTGCCGGCGTAGGCGCATTCGTTGCTGCCGACGCAAGCGCCGGCCTGGGAGTCGTCGCAAACGTCGGCGCTGGCGCTGGTGCCGGCGTAGGCGCACATGTTGTTGCCTACGTAGGCGCCGGCCTGGGAGTCGGTGGAGGGTTTGATAGTGTAGTCGTCGCAAATGTTGGTGCTGGCGTTGGTGCCGGCGTACACGCAAACGTTGCTGCCGACGTAGGCGCCCGCCTGGGAGTCGTCGCGCGCGTCGGTGCTGGCGCTGGTGCCAGCGGCGGCGCAGACGTTGCTGCCGATGTAGGCGCCAGCCTGGGAGTCGGTGGAGGCGTTGATGGTGCAGTCGTCGCAGATTTTGGTGCTGGCGTTGGTGCCGGCGTAGGCGCAGACGTTGCAGCAGCGGACGTAGGCGCCGGCCTGGGAGTCGTCGCAAGCGTCGGCGCTGGCGTTGGTGCCGGCGTAAGCTCACACATTGTTGCCGACGTAGGCGCCGGCCTGGGAGTCGGTGGAGGCGTTGATGGTGTAGCCGTCGCAGGTGCTGGTGTTGGCGCTGGTGCCAGCGTAGGCGCAGACGTTGCTGCCGACGTAGGCGCCGACCTGGGAGTCGTCGCAGACGTCGGTTCTGGCGTTAGTGCCGGCGTAGCCGCAGACATTGTTGCCGACGCAGGCGGAGTTGGATCGGCGGTAGGGTGGGGAGCTGGAGTCGAACGTGGGTGGTGGATAAGTGGAGTCGGATAAGTAGGGGATAGGGCTGCTAGTGTTGGGAAAGCAAGCAATGAGGGTGGACAAGCAGGCTGGGGTAAGGAATCGAATGGCACGATCCCAAACAAGGTCAATGTCCTCTACTTCCTCCCTCCCTCCTGCGACCCGCCGCTGGTATTCAGTAAGGGGCGTATCCGGGGATCGCTGCTCCTGCTCCCTCCTTGCCGCTCCCAATGGTTGGTGCGCCGGGGCTGGCCCGAGCCCTGGCGGTTGATGCGCTGGGGCCGCCGCAGGGGGCCCCGTCAATCTGCGCAAGAAGTCTGTCTCCGTGGCGGGCTCTCCCTTGCAGAGTCTCCTGGCCTCCCACGGCGAAGGCCCAAATGACCTCGAGCCGGGCGGCCCCCTCTGGTGTTACCGCCTGAGCTGGCGGTTGTGGCGGCAGCACGGGCTGCGCAAGGGGATGATGAGGGCTGGGCGTGAGCACCCGGCGCACATCATAATGTTGATCGTGATGCTGACCGCCAAGATGGTGCCCAGAAGTAGGCCCAGTAAGAGCCACCCCCATGATATGCAAATGGGTGCGAAGCTGGGCGTGGACAAGTACTCCGGCTGCTCCCCATTGCAGACAGCCATAGCGTGCACCGCCGCCAAATGGCAGTGTCGTAAGAATTGCGACAGATACGTGGTGCTGTCACGGGCCGCGAATGCCGCCCATTGTCCCGCACCCTGTGCCGTATAAGATCCCCAATCCCATAACGTAGAGCCCGCTGCGCGCCAATCGACTTCGCCTAGCCTTTGGAGTAACCATTCCATCCCGTAGTCCGCCCAGTCGTCATCAGCACAACCGTCCGCACGAGAGCGTCCGCGCATGAGGGCAAGAAGAAAAGTGTTGAGAGACGTGGTGTAGGAGGTATGTGAAATGGGATGGCTGGTGAAAGGAAGTAGGTGAGGAGGAAGTGGAGCCCTTGAGCCCTTGCGCTGGCTTGAGCCAGCGCAAGGGCTCAAGGGCTCCACTTGTGTGTGCCGTGCGGCCACGTTTGGGGATAGCATGTGTCATGAATGGCTTTGAAATCCATGAGCATGGGCAGCTGGCAGACGGGACGCGTGGACGATGGCAAAGATAGAACACTTAATTGATTGCCGCCTAAGGGCAGGTGTTCAAGGAAGCAAGTAACCAAGTCCCTGACCGGAACGTCGAGCGCTGCCTCAACACTACCAACACACCGACCCCGCTCAACGACATGCGCTGATTACGTAGACATTGCAGTGACATGCGCGAATGCTGCTGGGGGTCTCCCACTATTCTGCGACGTAATAGTGATGAGCCAAATTACTGGGAGAGGATGGCCATGAAACGGAACAAACAACAGAGGAGGATTATTGGAACGAGCAAAACACGACAACAACACCACATACGCCGAAGTGACCTATAGTCCTATATTTATGATTCACCGGACCCTATTTGGCGAATATCATCTTGCCCAATTGCGTAACTGTATCAAGCAATGTCCGACGTTGGGAAATGGCTCAAAACTCTCAAGCTCAAAATTCAACGCGGGGTCCGTTACACCTCCAGGAACAAACAAACAACAAACCACTAGATTGTAAGTAGCGTGGGGGTCATCGGTTGCATCATGGACACCATCGGTTGCATCGAAATCGCAAGCTACTACGCCAAATCAAGGATCCGATTCCACAGCGTTTCTGCACCGTTAGCTAGCACTTGCATAGTGTCTGGCGGCAAATTCCTGAAGTGGTTGAATCGCGGCACGGTGCAATAATACAGCAATGGCCAAGCCATTTGAAAAATGGAGAGCCTATGTAAATATTGACTGAACTTCGCCCTTTCTCGGCAAGTTTCTCCCCGACTACCAACAGGTGCGTCAATAACTTTGGCCCCGCGTTCGGAGAGCGGCGTGCTCGCTTTCCAAGCGAGCAATGCGGTCTCTGCCAAGTCAGGGAGCACGGTGCTGGAGTGTTGCCCCATATTGTCGATTTTCCCCATACATGCACGCCAGTGTGGCATCAGCTTTGTATTTTTTCTTGCACAACTTGTAGAAACGAGCGTAGCATCAATAGGATCACTGGCGGTCACTGGACGTGGACCTCACTTAAAGTCGGGTGTAAGATGAGGCGAAACAGTACAAGTATGAGAGCGTCGCCTTGCTCCTCCCCACCCCCCTGCAAGATCACTTTAAAAGGGGTGCGCATCGGTGCGGTAATGCAACAGATGGATAGCAACATCAGTGACGCTGTGATTTGCAATTCCGGAATTATGGGGCTCGACTGTTAGCCGAACAGCCTCTTGGAACTGTTTTGCCAAAGCCTTACATACCAGTCGTGGTATTCTACAAACAGGGTTTGATTCCTGGAGGGGCGTCTGGCGGGGGTGTCGGAGACAGCTGAATGTTTTCCAAGCAACGGGGTGTTGGACACTGCCAGCTCAATCTGAAATTCAAAATGCGTGTCGCGAAACATCGTGCACGCACAGGTCAGGCCAAAATCTTCGAACTGAACTGCACTCCCTATGGGTTAAAGCGTGGGTAGAGGGAGCCAGAAATGACTGCAGAGCAGAGACGCACCCTCACGACGCTCAGCCCTCAGAGGAATCAACCACCAGCAAGCAGTTATATGATTCCTGGAGGGGCGTCTGGCGGGGGTGTCGGAGACAGCTGAATGTTTTCCAAGCAACGGGGTGTTGGACACTGCCAGCTCAGTCTGAAATTTAAAATGCGTGTCGCGAAACATCGTGCACGCACAGGTCAGGCCAAACTATTCGAACTAAATTGCACTCCCATAGCAAGACCCACAACAGGGATGTGCACGGGCGGTGGCGGGGCAATGGCGACAGACAGAACGAAGAGAGCGAGAGTAGCATATCAGAGCCGCCCCAGGCGGACGGAGCCACAGAGAAGGCCTTTCAAATTACAGTGAGCCCATTCACAATGCTGACGGCTAGCTGGCTGCAGCCGATTGGGGGCTTGCTGAATCTTGCCTGGCATAGCATGACGGCGAACCGTATCAAGACATTTAACTCTGACACGCGACTGAATCTCACTCAAAGTGCGGCGCCACTTCAGGAGATCATCCGAGGCACCGCCGTGGCGCAGTTGATGCAAGGGCGCCTCGACGCCCAGTCTGGCGGCGGCAACCTTGAAAAGGCGGGCGACCCTAACGGCCTCCAGCGGGAAGAGCTCACGGTCGTCCGCTGCGCCCGCAGCCCAGGAACCCAGCACTTCGCCCAGCCACTCGGGGTGGTCGAAGATGACGGTGTCGTCGAAGGTCTGGGTTTTTGACGGCTGCAGACGTTCTTCAGGCGCCGCGATCAACTACCAACACTTCAGCGCAGCCTCCTCTGACACCCCTGGCTTCGCCAGATCGCCCACCTTCGCGCGGAGGAGCTCCCCAGGACGGAAGGACCCCGAGAACGCGGCCTCGACGTAGAGGGCCGTGGTCCGCTCACCGTCGTGGAGCAGAAGGGCGCAGATGCCCGACTCCACTTCGATCGGCAGCGGCATCCTGCTGGTAGGCGGGAGTCTTTTCGGTGCCCCTTGAGCGCCCGTTGGAGCCGAGGGTAGTCCCGTACTTTCCCAGGGAGGGTGCTGTACAGCAGACCGTGCACGGTCTTCTCGGCGTGGGTGAGCTTCACGTTGTCGGCCAGGAGCTCGTCGATGTAGTCCAGCAGGTTCACCTCGATCTCGTCGTGGTTGTCGGTGGTTCTGCCTCGGCGCCGCTGCCACTCGAGGAACAGGTTCTCGAAGTGCTGGTAGGCGGCCGAGCCCTTGGTGCCGACCGTCGCGAGCTCGCAGGCACTTAGCCTCCCGTCCTGCGCCCGCCGCCCAAGACTCGGGGGCAGCGGCCGCGCGGCGGGAGAAGGGGGCCGCGGCGGGCCTCCGCCTGGTGGCGCCCTGGCGTCGGGCGGGGACGCTGGCGGGGCGGCCCGCTCGCTTTCCCCCCTGACGGGTTCCAGCGGCTCCGGAGGAAGTCGATGGCGCGGCGGCTGCTTGACAGGCCGCCGAGCTTTGCTCCCGCTGCAGGCGCTTCATACAGCGCAGCCCGCGCCTCCCTGAGCTTCTCGAAGAGGCGGGGCGGATCGTCGGCGGGATTGTACTCGCTCGGGATCCAGCGGAGCGCCACCCACGCACCCGTCGCAATCGAGAGGGCAGCCAGACGGCGGACCAACTGCAGAAGCCCGAAGGACGCCGCGCGCCCTCTTGAGCAACAAAGGGCTACACCGAAGTTGTCGACCAGGACGAGGTGCCTCTTGTGGAGCTGGCTGGGGTCCCGAAGCTTTAGGCTCATGCCCTTGATGACAGCCCTACCTTCCTTGTTTCCCATCGGCTCCTCAAGCCTGTACCTCCCAGCCCTCCACCACTTCCAGGAACGTCCCATGATCGCGGCCTTCGGAACCTCGGGGAAGCCAGTGCGGGGCCGCCAGGCGAACTCCGAGGGGGCCCCGCCGAGCTCGTCGAGGTCCCAGGGGTCAGCGCCGGACGTCACAGGGTCGACGAGGGGGTCGAGCTCGGCCGCCAGTGCACGACGACGAGGCGCCCACTCCGACGGGGGCAGACGCTAGTACCTCCAGCGCTCGTTCCACCTCCCGATCTCCCCCACCTCCTCTCTGTCGAAGGCAGCCTCCATCGCGCCCCACCCACTCCCCGAGGCGTCTGTCGCCAGCTCGGAAGTAGACCATGGTCGCCCAAAGCAACCTGAGAGCAGGGGGGCCAGACTGGAGCAGACCAGGAGCTCACGGCAGACGGAGTCCCACAGGGGCCTCGGGGTCCAGTAGCAGTCCCAAATGAAGACGTAGGAGGCCCGCAAAACCGACAGCGCGGGCCGCAGGTTGAGGCCCTCGACGACGTAGTGGCCCAGGAGGCGCTCCATAACCTTGCCAGAGATGGCCCCTCCTCGAGCGGCGTGCCGAAGAGCTCCCCGAAGAGTCCGGGCCCGCTTGGGCCTCGCGCGGACCGTCCGTCGTAGCCCATCGAAGGCGGTACCCAGGATGTCCGAAGATGTTGAGGCCCGGGAGATCTCGTGAATCACGAAGTCCTTCCCCTCGAACACCCCGATGAGCTCGCGAAGTCGCCGATCGACGCGGTCCCTGGACATCCCGAGGACGGTGGGGTTGTCGCAATGGGGGGGCAACTGGGTCGTCGGACAACGTGGGGGGGGCAGGCCGCGCATTCGACATGATCAAGTCCTAGCCGAAACCAGCCTCACGAAGCAACTCGGCATGCAGAGCCTGCACAATGTAGAAAGACCAGGTCCAACCCATCGGCAACACGAGCAAGCGCGGGAAGACCTCCCCGCCCTCTGGCAGCGAGAGCCCCCACACGTCCGAGGTCGCCCCCCACTTTTTTTGCGTGGCTCCGTCGACGGCTTCGAAGCTGAAGTACTCGCTCAGCGCAGACGGCACCCCACACTGGTAACAACAATTCTTTACATCACCAGTGGCGACGAAGACTGGCGACGCTTCGTCTGGCGCCTCGAGCCCGTGTATGTTCTCGGCCGAACTCATCTCAAGCTTAGGGGGGGTGACGGAACAGCTGGTTGACTCTGCGGCAGTCCAGGGCGAGCCTCTGGCGGCCCAGTTTCTTTTTCACGAAGAACGGAGTGATCTTGCCCTTCGAGGCCCTGCAGAACCCCAAGATCCCACAATCATACAGGCTCCTGAGGAACTTAAGACGAACATCTTCATCATCCCTGATCCTGACATCCGTATAGGACCCGACGGGCTCGTGGCGAAGACGGTACTCGGCTACGTCCGCGTCGGCCAGGATGTTCTCAAGTCGAGGCTGCGGCCGAGCTCGGGGGAGACGAACTCAGTCAAAACGACGGGCGACACCTGCCCCTCTGGCAAGGGCACCTTCGTCGGGTCGTAAGGCCCGGCCGCGCATGCAAGCATCTCGTAATCCGCATTCACACCAGCCAACTCACGAAAAGAGGCGTGGTCCGTCTGTACATGATCGGGCAACCCCGAAGCGATGGTGGAGAACAGATGCTGGCGAACTGCACTATGCAAAAGACGGCGACCGCCCACGGCCTCAGTCCCATCACGCTGCGTCGGGCCCGACAGCTCCTGCGGGTCGCGCCCGAAGAGCAGGTTCAGACCGTCGACCGCCTCCTACGCCGCCGACTGGACGGCGTTCCAGCGCTTGAGGTGGAGCCGAGCCTTCCTCTCCGTGCCGGTGCCAGGACGCTGAGCCCGAGGAGCGTCAAGGGGGGGGGAGAGACCACGGCCACACCTATCCCCTGCTGCTTCTTGCCGTCGACGGGGCCAGGCCTCAGGACGACGAGCGCCAAAATCGCGGTCGGAGGAGAGCCCCTCAGACCTCGAGCTAGCCATCGTATCAGAGACGGAGACGACTACTGGCGACGCCGCCCCCGCTCCCTTCTTCATTTCTTGGCGGAGGCCGCGGGGTCTGCCTTGGCCTTCGCCACCGCGACGCCTGCAGCCCTGGCCTCCCGTGCCTTTCGCTTCTCCTTCAGAATCGCAGCCTCTTTGCTGAGCTCGGTGGCGACATGAGCCCGAAGAGGCGGCGCCATCTGGGCCCCTCCCGAGCGCTCGCCGATCCCCAGGTAGTGGTCCGACCCCTCGTAGCTCGGCGCCTCGGGATTCTCCGCCACGGCCTCCTCGTGCAAGGTGATCCGCCTCAGGAGGAGCTCGACGCCGATGAGGTTCTTCACGTAGAGCCCGCCCACCGTCGCCAGGAGCTGCACAGCCCTGTGGAGGATCGCGCGCTCGTGGGCGGTCGAGCTGTGAGTCTTGACCCCACTCTCGCGTGCCACTTGCTGGCACGATCAGTCAGACTGGTCACGCCATCTCTGACCGCCGAGTCGACCCACTCGGCCCCGATGGCGGGACCCAGCGACGGAGAGGCAGGCAGGCCCTCCGCTTGCCGTGTGTAGGTCGTCATCGAACGCGCGGCGTCAACCAAGGGCCGCTCCGTCGGGGCCCGCGCCAGGATCCTCGGGTCGTCGCAGAGGAAGTTGCTGCGCGCCAGGGCCCAGTGAGCGATGTCGACCCCCTCGGCCAGTTGCTCGAGCGCGGCGACGCCCCCGTCGATCACCGCGAGGGCTCGGGTCCCCAGCACCGCCGCCCCTGCAGGCAGCGCGAACTCCTGGCCGATGTCGTGGCCCACGAGCGGCTCCGCGAGGACCCACGCCCCCCCCCCGCTGCGACGAGGCGGGGGGCCCCAGGGGCAGCGGCCGCGGCGGGCACGGGCGTCGCCACCGCGGCGGCCCCTCCAGGCGCTCGAGCCGCCTCGCCCAGAAGCGGGAGACCACGGTGGGCCCGCTCCAGATTGCACACCTGGTCCGCCTCCGCCAGCAGCTCGTTGACCTCGGCGGGCGTGAGCGCCGCGAAGGTGTATAACACACTCCCAGGGATGGGGATCCCTCGCGGCCGCGCGTCGACCGACGCCGCGAAGCGGATTCCTTCCAGGTCGCCGTTGTTGAGGCTCAGCTGCTCCACGAACGCGTCGAAGTCGGGCGACACGACCGAGTGCTCGTCGTTCTCGACGAGGGAGCCGATGAGCCTCGCGTGGTGCTCGCCAGCGCCGTAGTGCACCCACGCGGCCGACCCGCGGCCCAGCGCGGCAGAGGCAGCTGCCCCCGCCATGCTTTTCAGTGGTCGCCGCCAGGGGCGAAGACCACTACACCCCTGCCGCCTTTCTTGCCGCCCTTGGCCGCGGCTGCGCGAGCGCGCGGCCCGTCCGTCTCGGCGTCCTCGAGCGCGAGCGCGTGGGCCTGCCGCCGCGGCCAGAGCCGCCCCAGCGCGGCCTGGACTCGACCGAGCCCAAGCCTCGCGAGCTCCCACGCCACGAGCGTGACGAGGACGAACGAGACCTCGACGCCCCAGTGGAAGTCCGCCTTGGCTGCCTCGGGGCAGGGCGGACAAGGGTCGGGGCACGACCTGGGCCGCGGGCGCCAGGCGCCCCTCCAACTCCGCGCGCAGCTCCTGGGCCAGCGCGGGGGTGGGCGGCGCCGCGGCCGCCGGGCAGCCCCGCGCTGGCGGGGCGGGCGCCCTCCCCTCCACGGGCGGCGCCGAAGGCGGGGCATGCGGCGCCCGAACGGCTGCCCACAGCTGCCCGACCCAGGCCGAACCGACGTGGAAGGCCAGGAGCACCGCTACTGGCCCGCCGCGCGCACCCAACGCCCTGGAGGCCGCGGAGGTCGGAGGCTCAGCCAAAATGGCTTGAGCCAGAAAAGACTGCAGAGCAGAAACACACCCTCACGACGCTCAACCCTCAGAGGAATCAGCCACCAGCAAGCAGCTATATGTAATGTGCGTATTGTGCGCCCCACATCCCTGAACTCAAACCTCTCCTGGACGTCCGCAGGACATTGGCGAACAAATGCAGATTTGATGTGACGGGATGGTGCGGCCGGAAATCGTGGAGGTTTTCTCGTAGAGGTTCAGAACGTTCTGCTTGCCGAACCTGCGTATCACGTAGTTATTTCAAACTGCACTCCATTCCAGGCGCACTTCCTG